TGGATCTATTGAATGAACACACCCCCTTTACTTAATGAGTCATTAGCTGTGCACCAAATGACATACATTATGTATACTGTCTAGTTAAGCGTGTGAAGTGATCAAAATTCCAAATTTGTATTTTTGATTAAACAAGTACATTGTTGGGGATGTACTAGGGATGTAACAATTACTCCATAAGCGCCACCTGCTGTCAGAGAGTGGATTTACATATACTTATATTTACATTCAGTCTGTGTGCAGTTTCTGTCTGGCCAAAAACAGACCGAATTTGCATGCCCTGCTGTAAATTTTGACCGGTTTATGAAAAACAAGCTTATGTGGATTCTACACATTTAAACAATTCAGATAATCAATGATTGAGGTGATTTTGTAGGCGAGTAAATCAGCATAGGAAATAAACAAATTACAAGCATAGATAAATATAACAGAACAAAAGATACAAATGAAATAAGCAGTGCTTTATATTTTTCAGGTAAGTCTAACAGTATTCAGGTACAGAAATTGAATAATCAAATGTAAAACAATAATGCATAGTCTTCACTGTATAAACAAAATCTAATATATCTGTTAAAGCTACAAAAGTGATTTTTCTTTGTGTTTTGTTGTTTGATTAACATTCATAACACAGAAAGCCTCAGGAACATTAAAATGCTTTAAACCAATATACTGTTATTTTATTTCTCGCTGCGAGACCGAGGCTTGAGAGAGTTGTGAGTGAGGGCACGGGGCTGATACAGCTATTATAAGCATTTTTGGACTTGTCTTTTCCACTTAATTTAACACTTTAGAAAGTTAATAAAGTAGGAAGTCGCAGTTTAGAGTTAGAATCTTTATTTTATCTTATTTGCAAAAGATTGGAAATAATTTCGGTTTATTTAGATTTATTTTCAGTTTTTTGTTTGTTTTAGTATCAATATCTGGTAACACTGCATCGCTGGCACTTACAGTAAACTGAAACCAATCAAAAAAGCCCTTGGACAGGTTTTTGCTGACAGGATATGACATTCGGTAAGGGAAACGCAAAAATTATCATGATATTATCGGTCGTAAACGTTATCAACGCTGTCAAAAACAGTAGCATTCAACACTAGTACACACAGATCTGTAGAACAAGTAGGTTACAGAATGAAATGAAATACGCAAAAACTAGCCATGAAGAAGTCTATGCCATGTCATTCAGTATAGTTAAATTTTCACAAATCATGCTATAAACTTTCATAAGAGCACTAGACAAAGTTATTGTAGTTATGTATTGTTGCAATAAACAACTGATAAACTTACCCACCCTTAAATATAGTAAAGTATTAACAAATTTTGATGCAATAAACAGGGCATGATTTAAAATAAATCATCCCTCCAAAACAGAGAAAACATCTTTCGAAAACATCTACATGTCTGTCTCCTTTAAAGTGTTTATAGTAGGGCTGGACGATATGGCCAAAATTTATATCACGGTATATTTCTTAATTCCGGTCGATACGATATAATTCTGATATCCTCCCCACCCCGGACCTCTCTAATTTTCAAAGCCTGGGTACAGCCATGATGTGGAGTATTCCTATTTTAGTCGCATTATTGAAGTGCAGTAAAGACATGTAACTTACACACCTTAATCACATTATTACCGTTGTGTAGGACTTTTCGCAGCATTTTGCAACAGGATACACACAGGCAGTGGTCAACTTTTGACGGCAAACAAAAGAATGGCTTCAACAACGCCGTCGTCTGTTTGCATGTATAGCATGACAAATAATTAACTGCACTTGAAGCTTTCAGTAAATTAAAAATGAAACACCCAAAAGTGTATATGCCATCATAACGAAGACGAACTATGTTTAAGCCCCGTTCACACTGCCAGCGACAAAGCGACATGCTCCCATTATTTTCAATGGAGAGCTGGCGACTTCCAGCGACATGAGCGACAGTGACCGTTGGCGACAGAATGTGGGCGTGTCAAGCGATGCAAGTCAAGCGACAAAAGTTAAGAAATGTTTAACTTTATGCAAATGAACAGCGAATTTTGCGAGCGACAACCAATAGGAGTGAAGAATATGTCAGTGGCGCCCACGTCACCACCTCGAGTGCAAGCAAGACAGGACAGATTTCCTGAGCGATTTCACTGTAACCACATACATGGATATAAAAAACATGATGTGCAGAAAAGAAACTGTTGGCTAAGTAAGTTTGATTCATACAATGATGCAGTAAGCAGTTTAGCACTGGTTAATGATTTAAAGGGGTCACATGATGCGATTTCAAGTTTTCCTTTCTCTTTGGAGTGTTACAAGCTATTGGTGCATACAGAAGATCTGTAAAGTTGCAAAGACTAAAGTCTCAAATCCAAAGAGATATTCTTTATAAAAGTTAAGAGTCAGCCACACCTACCTAAAACGGCTCATTCTAACATGCCCCCACATGTCTACATCACTATGTGGAAATATTAGCATAATGTCGCCCAAATGTGCACGCAAAGAAAGAAGTGGTTTCAGGAACAGCAGATGCAGCCATGTCAGGGAGACGCTGTGTGTTTCAGTGCGAAAGCAAAAGCACTTTATTTGGCCTTCCGGAAGTAGATGCAATTAGGAATCATTGGTTAAGATTTATTTACAACAGAACAGCACAACCCAGATGTCCGAATTTGTGCAACGCATTTTATGGACGACAGTTTTTTGAACCTAGAAGAGTACAAGGCTGGCTGTGCACAAAGGCTATTTATAAAAATAAAATAAAATGGGTCAATTCCGACTTTGCTATGACAATCTGGCGCTTCTGAATCAGCGACTGTAAGTATGTTTTGTTATTAGTTTAAGTATTTGCTATAGACTGTTCAAATGCAGAGTTTTGCGCAGCGCAGAGTAACGCGTTGTGTGTGTGAGGGGAACAGGGTCACATCACAGGAGAGTGAACGGTCTGTCAGAAATCATAGCACGTCAGCTGTCTTAACCGCAGCTTGTGTACTGCATCATCACTGTGTCTGTCACGTGACTCTGTTGCCCTTTCGGGCTTGAACTAATGGTAAAACTAATGACATTATTAACTGTCTTGATATTAACTTTGAAAGCTGACGCTTGTGATTATGGTAAGGAGCATTACATTTCCGACACGTGCTTGCGGTGTTCGGCCAATCACAATGCACTGGGTCAGCTGGCCAATCAGAGCAGACTGCGCTTGTCAAAGGAGGGGGCTTTGTTGAAAACGACGTGTTTGAGAGAGGCGGGGCATAGAGGACCTACAATAATGTACAGTATTTGAAAAATAATGTGTTTTTTGAACATTAAAGCATGTCAACATATTCTGTTACACCAAATACACAAAATAATGATCTTTAAAATAGCATCATATGACCCCTTTAATGCACGAGCACTGCTGTAGTTTATATAACAAAACTCTCAACCAGCAGAATGGTACTTTTATTTCTTTTAAGTCTAATTCCTAGTGATATTAGAATGATATCTTAGTTTTACCGGCAACATAGTTTGTGATTGCATTTCCTAAAGATATGTCCAGACGTGCAGTCTACCAATAACATTAGAGCAGCACAGAGTTTAGCGACATACAGCGAAAAAGTCGCTGGCAGTGTGAACGGGGCTTTATACGTGAAATTCTGGAGGGGACGTCGGATGGCGTCGCGTGGTGACGTAATGACGTTTACCATTAATCGATCTATGTACTATAACATGTAAATCGGGAACATGAAAGGAATATTCTAAAAGCAACTCATGTAAACACCTTAATTGTAATATTGTCTTATTCAGAATAAGGTAAATAATTAGATTACTGATGTCCATGTAAACTTAGTCAGTGAGATGAAACAAATTTGCGGGTCTATATGTATTCTCGGCTTGGACATGAACATACACTAATATGTACAAACTGCCAAAACACATGAGGAAAGCATCAGTCTTCCTGACCTCTACTCGACATCCCACTGTTCTTACAGCACGCAAGTCAAAAATAAACACCTGATTTTTAGGCCAAGGCAAAAACAGGACTTTCCATGTCTAATATAAGCCTTAATATGAGCCATGTAAGGTTAGGCGTATGTTTAAAGACATCAAACTCGTTTAATTGTGCCTGTCGCCGTGTGTGAAGGCACCTCGCAGCTCTTAATAGCGGCTGTCAACATTAATAGCCACTGCTTGAAATCCATATTCTATTCGCGTTCGCGTCCGACAGTAACGTTAGTGCAGGTCAGGACTCATACTGCGTCAAAAAAGCTACACGTTACGATCCAGAAATCCAAATTTAACACGGAATATCTGACAGGCGAACATGAGCTTCATAGCCGAAGCCCTTAACATAGTCCCTCACCGGAATGAGACTTGCTTGCTTATTCGGCAGAAACGTGCGAAAAAACGCTTTCAAGGTTAAGCACGTAGAAAACTGCAAAACTTTCTGTAAGAATGACACTATTTAGACCCTGGCTTGTAACCGACCCAAATTCCCTCAAAGTCTGCGGTATTGTTCACAGAGAAAGCGACTTTTCCTGTTTGAAAACTCACTATATTCTTGGGAACGTCTAGTGTACGTGGCGAGGAATTTAATTCGGTTTGACATTTCAGTGCTCGCGCGCAACATATAAAGTGCAAATCGAGCTTAAATAATGTAAACGTAAACTTTATTTCGCTACATAGTGCGATGCTGCTGACGCAGAAAGCCTCAATCAAGGGGGAATCTCTGGTAAAGCCCCCTAAAATCAGAAAATACTCGATGATATTTTAGTTACCACTCAGCTACTAAACATCCGCCGTTTGGAAAGGCCCGGATAAGTTTACTCTCGCATCTCTACGACGCTATCATTCCGACATCAGCTACAAAATAGCTCGACTAAAATCGCCACAGTCCGGCTTATCGAGCTCCTCCGCTGCAGAGAACGGGAGGGGGAGGAGGGTGGCAAAGTTGCCGCAGTTTGGAGTTGTGTCTAGGGGGCAAGATTCCACCATTCAGCTCCCCTTCTACTAAACTAGCTTAATAGCCCCGCTTCGGTTTTCTCTTACCTTGAGCACCGGGAGAAGAACGGTGACAATTTTTAGGAGGTAGCTCTCTGGAAGGGCAAAGTACTCAGTCGCGTTTGACTTTTTGAGGATGAATAGAGCAGCTTTCAGCAGGGTCCTCGCTAGTTCCTTCTCTCACCCCCTCCCTTGCGCCGCAAGATCAAACCATCACATTCCTTCGAGATGAAAACAATGAAAAAGGTGGGTTTTCCTTTGCCAAGAAAGACCCACCCCTAGAACGACTACGCCGCCTGTGACCGCGGAAAGAACGCCCTGCCCGGCTAATACAGTCACGCCTCCCCCGGATGAGAGGGAAGAACGACGGATCAGACCAGCGCTGAGCTCTAGAGGAAGCTTGGGGAATAACGGAAACACAGTTCACAAGTAGAGCTGGACTTTTTTTAGCACTACAATTTATAAGGGTGTTAAAACATTTTTACAAATGTAAATAAACACACAAATAAATGTAAAAATTAAACACAAAACGTAAATAGAAAACAACATGACAAGGGCAATATTGTCTGTAGGCTATTGAATGCATGTGTGACGTCACTGCACAAGGTGAGCAATAACCATTCCACTGTCAGGCAAATTTGAATTGTAAAGAACAACATATTATACATTTGTTTATTTTGTTAAGGAAAATTCCACATACATAAGAAGAAGTGGGCTCAATGTTAACCAAATTTTGCACATTTTATAAATGACTTTAAACTATATGTAAATCTCTTAGAACAAACAAAAAGCATTGAAAACATGAAATGCTCTGAAAGCATTGAACTTCATGTAATTTTCTTCCTATTTTCTTTTCTTTTTTTATCTGCCAGCTAATAATGTTAATTTGATAATGTGAATATGTAATACCTCATGTACTTGTGGCATTGAATTAATAAAGCATTTTTTAAAATTCCACTGTCAGGCAATAAAAACATTTAAGCAATTTCCCGTAGCATACAAATAGTTTATATGAAATTATTTCTCACTAACAAATTGACATTATATTTAATAAAATTATAATTATATTAATTAGTGCACCATGCCAGAAAAAGATATTAACATTAACACCCAGACATAGTGACGACAACAACAACAATTGTTACCTTTAACTTTACTAGTTATTTAAAGTCATATCTCCATTATTGTCTGTTTCTGTGTAAAAATCATGTTGTATGTATATTGTGCTTGCAAAAAAAAAAAAAAAAGGTTACCCAAAGGCAACAGTGCAGTAGAGGGTTAAATTAAACATGTTTCCATTAACATATATAGAATGGCGTGCTATTAGGTGTTTCACTTAAACATTTTTATAAAAATAGTGGTCAGAAATAGTTCAAGCACTGCTGAAAAGGCAGCAGTCCAATAGAAAGTTGACTTCCTTGGGTTTCCAAAGCAGGATATAAACCAGCATCTGATTGCTGGTTTACAGCCTCAGCCCACAAGCTACCACCAAAATCACAAACACCCTTATATTTTTAGGACCCACACTGTTTTAGGTTGCATTCTTTTTACTCTTCATCAGAGTAATTTCAAAGCAATGCATTGCGGTGTCTCATTAGAAAAACAACTCTCTCGGTCCACTTTTTTTGCTAGATGTTGAGATGAAAGAACGCGTGACAGTGTTATTTTCTATGGTGAATTAAGTGCAAAAATGTATATCCACTTCCAAATGCACACAGTCCTGCTTTTGGTCCAAAAAGAATGGAAAACATTTAATTCTGAGAGCAACAGTATGTTAGTGTGGTGGCCAAGTTTCATTCTAGTTCTGCAATTTACTATTTAACCACTCAGTGAACTCAGTGAACCAGGCATACATTTAGTATTATTACAACATGAAAAGTGTATAAAAAGTAAAAGCTGCCCACCATGGTAAGGCCAATACCCCTAGACTGTAATCCACAACCAGACCTAGACTCTTCTAAGCTGGTGTTTACAAGTCCATGTACTGTATGGACTGATAACTATATAATAAATATGTTTTGTTTCGTTCAACCTATTGAAATAACCTAAGAGTGACTCCAATCATGTCAAATGTTTATGTATCAAGTCAGTAGACATCAATGAACCAGCCTCACTTCATCACAGTCCAAGCTTCATATACACTCTGTTCATGGCAGTTAAAATCACTCTTTCTCCAGTGGCAGTGATCCTGAATAAGTACATGGCAGAAATACAATTCTAAAAACAGCCTAGTGGCCTCCGAGTGTTTGAAGTGTAACCAACCAATAGTTACACCTGCCGTAGTCAAGGATAATCTTCACCATATGACTTTGATCTGCCTGTTTTAGGAGAATTATGCTGTATTTTATTAGCCTCTGTAATTGCCATATAACAGAATTTATATATCTATATTCATGCTGCAAGTATCAAACATTAGGTTAGCAGGGATGCCATATAGGATACAGCAATACTCACTACAGAAAGGTTTGGACAAAGTTTGAAGTAAATTACTAGGAAAATTATGTATATGTGACCTTGGACCACGAAACCAGTCTTAAGTCGTTTGGGTATATTTTTAGCATTAGCCAAAAAAAAAAAAGTATCGATTTTTCTTTTATGCCAAAAATCATTAGGATATTAAGTAAAGATTATGTTCCATGAACATATTTTGTAAATTTCTTACCGTAAATATATCAAAACGTAATTTCTGATTAGTAATATGCACTTCTAAGAACTTCATTTGTACAACTTTAAAGGCGATTTTCTCAGTATTTCGATTTTTTTTGTACCCTCAGATTCCAGATTTTCAAATAGTTGTATCTTGGCCAAATACATGGTTTTGTGGTCCAGGGTCACATATATCAAGATAATATAGCAAGGTTTTTTTATTTTTATCTGCACATCTGAACACCTGTAAAGAGTTTGAATGTCAGGGGATAAAGCACAAGTGGCTTTCAGATCTTTCACTCCTACACAAGCTGTCATCAGTTAAATCAAAACAAAGTCCTCCACTCTTTAATTATTTTTGTATAAGGCCACTGCATGTCACAGCAGGAAAAGCTGAAGGTGGGGAGAACATCACAAGGTCATACTTTGGTGAACAGTGAGCTAAATATGGGAAAATATGCTCTTACATAACATACTTGACACTTTGCCATATGACCACCCCAGTTATTTAGGTTATTGCCTTGCACAGAAGAATATACACAGTTAATATGTTTTATGCGTTGCTTGCAAGGTGGAATTACTTTGTATAAATAAAATGAAAGACGTATGGAGATCACAAACAAAATAGTTATTCGTTCAATTTTTTTCATTGCATTCATTTGTATCCCAAAAAATCTGTTCAATCATTCTGATGTTAAATTATTTAAAAGAACAGCCTCAGCCATGTAAAATGCATGATACAAAAGCAAGGCATGCTGGGACATGCCCCGGTATCAGTGTGTCACAACACCACAGAGAAGTTTTGAGTATTCTTGCTGTTCTGTCTCTTTATCTCTTTCTCTTGTGCTGGTATATTTTTCACTCTCTCTCACATTCAAATGCGGGCTTGCAGATGTTAGGAGAAGAGATTTATATTGAGTGAAATGTAATCATGCTTTATCACTTTTTTTTTGCTTAGATACTTATACAAGCTGTTTTATCTTAAGTGCAGAATCATCCATAATATCATCCATAGTATTAAGACTCTCAGCAAATTAGAATCTAGAGTGAGACCAGACATAAGACGGATCGTCATGTCTTTCTCACTATTGTCAACGGTGCAGTCCCGAGATGTATAGCGTGTTGTTATTATGTCATCTAAATGTGAGGGGATGTATGCAGTGAAAGGGGTTTCAGCTTCTTTTGGAATGTGGCTCACAATCTCCACAATATTGCATGAAGCCTTTGGGCAGCAGGCCAACATTCCCCAAAGAGCACCTGGGGGCATTTGCCCCATCTCTTCCCCAGATTCCATCTGCAGGACCGAATGATTGAAGGTTTAAAAAATGCAATGAAAATAATGGTGTGTTGCCCAGACAGAGTGCATTTTAAAAGTATTCACTAAAAGTGACATAGCTTCGGAGTTATGTGAAATTCCAATTTTTATTACCAACAACACGATTGTGAGTGCGATGTTCAATACAGAATGTAGTTAATACTGAGTAACCTACATTAACTTATTGAATCAACATTGAGTTTGAGCCTTCTGTAAAGCTGCTTATAGCTGAATTGAGCTTGTTTCATAATTGGTCAACTTTGCAATAATTTAATGAACTAAATAGAAACAACTAAATTGAGCTAAATAATAACATGTCTTCTGTAGAGTTGCTTTACAGCTGAAAATGAATTTGTTTCATAATTGTCAAATTTTATAACACTGTTTTTATTGTCTTGTTATTTATGTGATGCTGCTTTGAAATAATCTTTACTGTATAAAGAGCTACATAAATAAATGTGACTTGTCATTTTAAACACACTATTGCCAGTTATTTCTGTGATCAAAAATGGTTCCATACGAAGCCACAGCAGAATAAAGTTTATGCGTCTCCGAGCCACACGCAGTACTGGTTTAATTCCAGAAAGAATCAAGTGTTTTTGAGTGAATCTGTTCAGAGAATGATTCAGTGACTCACATAGAAAGACTAACTAGCTTGTAACACTATAACCTGCCGTTGGACTGTATATCAGCAGTGTTAAAACAATGACCAGAACAAACAAACAGGCAGCTGTGAATTGATTATGAACTTCATAGGAAGCAATGCCATCTAGAGAACTTTGCGTGCATGCAGGCCTAGATTTAGTCAAAAAGACACGAATCCCACATTTGCTGAAATGCAATAAGACTACATCTAAGACCCCCTTTCGTTATCCTGATTCTGTGCCACCCAAGTGTAAAGTCCTGAACATTTAAAAAAATTAATCTCGGAGACCATAAAAACCACAGTGAGAATGTTTCATAAAGATGGCTCATAGATAAGAGCGTAGAGTGTGTTTTTATTGTGCCCTGTGGATTGTTCTGCTCCATCAGTATGTTTCTCATCTCTGTTGCAGGCAATGTTACCCACCATAACAGCAGTTTGGTTAAAGACTATGGTTAACCTTAATCCAGGATTTAGCCTGTGGCTCCATCAGGGCTAGGGCTGTGTGTTTGTTGTTAAAGATATTATCTATTAAAAAACTAAAGTAGCATTGCATGTGGCAACTCACTTCAACCATAAACTCAAGTATTTTTCCACCCCTCTTTTTTTATTTTTGAGCTTTGTCTTTTAACAAAGGAAAGTTGGATAATTTGGTGAATATATGTTGCTGTGCTAGTTTTTTGTATGTCTCTTCATCTTCCACAGACTGGATCGTTCTAGACTGATCTCTGTCCCATGACTGAAAGGGATTGTTGTGCCTGAAGGGGGAGTAGCTGCTCTGTATCTGATTTTCTGTTGTTGTATAGCC